AAATTTGTCACATTTTAAAAGCACGACATGAATATTTTTATCATTATTGAGATGTCAAAAAATTTGTCACGCTTATTATTTTGACAATAAAAAATCTGTCATGTAAAAATATTTGTATCAAAAATTATTTATCATGATTTAAATTATTTACAAAATTATTTTTGTCACTATATAATTTTTGACAAATAATATTGTCATATAACACAAATATGTGACGAATAAATGTTGTCCCCACAATAAAGTCAATGACAAATAAATTTCTGTCACTATTAAAATTATGACCAAATAATTTAGTCACCATTCACAATTTTGACAAAATCAATTTTGTCATAACATATGATTTTTTCACCATAAAGCTTATCATTTGGTCTTTAAATGTAAATCAATTGTGACAAAATATTACTTGTAGTGATAAAATTTTTTTTCTATTGTTACAAATAATTTATCACAATAAACTAGTTTAAAGTGACAAATTATTATTGTCACAATAAATAATTAGGTTATAGTGACCAAATGCTTTTTCGTCACCTTACACTTAAGAGTACGAGCTTAATGTGACCAACCTGGTGACCAATATAATTTCTCACATTAAAGAAATAATCACAATTTTGATATTTATAGTGACAAATTATTTTGTTGTAAGAAGCCTAAATTCTTGTAGTGTCTAAATCCTGTAGGAAAGAATGCCAAGAACGGATCTGCCCATTGGAATGCATCCAGCGATACTAGGAGAGAGCTGGCCCATCCATGTGGAAGGAAGAGATCGTCAATCATTGCTCAGTAGAGATATTATGGTAATCAAAGAATTGCTCGGCTTTAAACCTCCAGCCACACAGATCCGTGCCATCAAAACGAGGGACTTCTAAACGGAAAGACTTGGGAAAAAAACTCTCAGAAGTCGATCTGCGTCGCCCATTCAAAACTAAAGATGATTCACCGGAATGTTGGTTTTGCTGGCAGGTTTGATCAAACTTGTTGTTCAGAGCTAAAATCTGTAAAGTAACATCTTGAAAACCAACTGTCAAAACTTCAAATTTCTCTGTTAAAGAAGTGAGAGTCTCTGCTTGGGCAGATTGTAGGACCGTAATTTTAGCAAGCTGCTCATCCAAAAGATGCAAGCAAGTGCCTTCAGCCATAACCTCTAAACGAGAGCACCAATGATAGGGTTTGAGATATGATCTGTTTATATGAGGAACAGAGACCTCCAAGAACAAGAGATAGAGAGATTAATTAACAAAATTCTTCATTGATCGCCACAATCTAGATTTAGGCTATTATATAGCCTTACACTTGACTCCCAAAAGGACTCTAATTATAAAAGGATAATAAGATAATCCTAATTCTGTCCTAATAAGATAATTATAAAAGACTTAACATAATTATAAAAGATAATAATAAAAGACTTAACACAATTATCCTAATTCTAAAATAATCCTAACAAAAATAAAAATAAAGATAATAATCCTTTCATCCCTTTTATTAATTTGAAGCACAAAAAAACAAATATGTTTTGATTGGATCTATAACTCATAATAGTTACTTAAATTCAACTCGCATCTTAGATTTAAATAAAGAAATACATAGAAAATATAATTTCGATACTTCTCAAATACAACTTAAAATTCTCATTCTAATTAAAATTAATTGAGAAAAAAATGGGTTAACATTATTGGATCATCTTTATCATAATAATAAATAAATAACTGAAATTTGAAACAAAGAAATCAAAAAGATAAAAACGTGATAAAACATTGTCCTACTTTTATTGAAACTACAAATACTAGTACTGCACGTGATAAAACACTGTCGTTTTGTCTGCTTCTGAAATTGGATGTTTTTACAACACAAAATTATTGTCACCTGGCTTTGTACTATTCCAACAATCACTAACACCTTCACAGTTACGTGTCTTCCTCCTATATTGGATCACTGGCACCACCTGTTAATCATGAAATGTAGGAGTTCATGATCCATGGTTCATGTGTGCTACCATGATTGATCCATCTGGCAATATCAGAAAGTTAACCTTCCCATAAACCCATCAATCAAAGAATAAGATCTTATCAGACTATGTGATGGATAACAGTCACAGTGCATCTTCATTCAACGAAACTATGTGATAGATAACAGTCACAGTGCATGTTCATTCAACGAATAGGAGCTTGTAACGTCAATATATGTAATCTACGTATATCTCCGGATTGATTGCATACACAAGCATATGATATGGAGAAAATACTACATCAGATTACATTATTTGTAAATATATCGTGATCGACCTGAAATACAGTACATACATCGTGATTGATCCAAAATACATGCATATAGCCTATAGAAGTATAAATTGTTGTTTGAGTTAATTCCATAACCCATTTGAAGTTACCCTGTGAAACCAAAGCCCGCGCCTTGTTGGAAAGGATTGAAGATTTTCCATCTTACTGTAGTGACAATGAAAAATCTCAAACTATGTACTATGTAATGCAATGGACCAATTTTAGAACCTAAAATTCCAGAATTTCATGAAATGAAGATGATTACAGAAGTTGAACGTTATGGTTCTACATTGGAAGGAGCAGGCTTTCAAATGGAACCGCTCCTTCATCCGTCTAACAAGTATTTGTTGATGTCCTAGGGAAATCTGTGATGTCCTTATCCGAAGGTCCATCTGCGAAGGGCAGCAATAAGCTGCTTCATGAATTCCTTGATCTGCAAATATCTGAGAACAAAAATCATGTGCCACGAGCAAGGAATGCGAACCAGGGCTTAAATCATCGTAGAGTAAACACATAATAAACGCAACTGCATTTAGTTTCATTTCAAGTACTACTAATAACAGATAAAACCTTCGCACAACTGCCGATAAAATATCAGCCAAACTCGATCAAATTGTAACAAACAATTAGAACACTGAATTAGGTTAAAATTAAAGCTTGACTAATAGGGATTGAACCTGAGTATAAGTAAGAAAAATAACCATCCGTGGGTAGCCCATATGGGTTGGGCGAACTGAGAATTTTGTGGATAAACGCACAACCTCAAATTCAATTTTCTATCTAAGTATCCATGATTTAAATGGGAGGCTGTGACAGTGGATTGTTGTGCTAGTCTCTCTCAAAGATTAGTTGAAATACGGATAAAGTGGCCTAGACACCTTGGTTAAAAAAAAAAAAAAAAAAGTTTGTGTTATTGTTGTTATACTGTATTACTGCAGCATAAACGTTTATTTAATAAGTTGAACTATGATCTTTTTTCATATAAGTGGGAACGTGATTCACAGTGGATTCCATAATTAATTATATTATATTAATTAAGTATATTTAAACATTATTTAAGGTAGAGATGGCAATGGGTCCGATATTTTCGGGTACTCGGCCCATCCCATCCCGAAAAGGTGGGGCTTTACTCGATGTTCGTGGGCTTGGGCTTGGGCTTGGGCCTGATTTTAAGGCTCGACCGTGGGTCTTCAGGCTTGGCCCGACCCGACAATTTTAGTATTAATTATACTAAATTACCCTTATACTATATATTTAATTACAAGATTATCCTACATATATATACTCATTTTTTCCAAACCTTATATGAATGGATGAATGCACTTTGTAGAAAGTTATTTATATATTTGATGAGTGTCCAAAAATAAATTAATATTTAAAAATTGTTTATAGAATTAAAAATATATAAAAAAAAAGTTAAAATTTATTAATATTTAAAAATTCACATTATAAAAATGGGCGGGCTTGGGCCGGACTTAAGGTTACAAAAAGCTCGTCGGGTCGGGCTTGGGCTTTACTTGTGATACCCGTGACGGCCTTGGGCCTTTGTTATGAGGTCGGGCTGGGCCTGGGCCAAGGCGTACCCGATCCCGACCCGGCCGATTGCCATCACTAATTTAAGGTACCAACCACCAATTGTTTTTCAAAGTTTTGCTTTCTTCAATTTGTCAAGGAGAATCTCGTTTTGGTACCTAAAGTTTTAAAATTGTTGCTTGTTGGTGCTAATGATGAGCCACATAAACAATTAGGGGGACCAACTGTTCACAGTTAATGGTACATATTTTATACATTTAAAATCCCTTTACCTTATAATTAAAAAATTATTTATTTTTAGTGTTTCCTTTTTCTTTTTAATTATTAATTTAGCACATTTATTTATTCTCACCAACCACCTCGTACAATTGAATATATTTTCCTTTTTTCTATCTTATTTTATAAATTTAAAACATAAAAATAGTATTTATACTGAAAATAAAAATAAGGAGAAAAATAATCCTTTCATCCCTTCAATTATATTGAAACACAAAAAACATATATCCTTTGATTGGATGTAAAACCGATAATATTTACTTAATTCGACTCGGATATTAGATTCAAATAAAGTAATACATAGAGAATATAATTTGGGTCATTCAATTTTAATACTTCTAAGATACAAACTTAAAATTCTCATTCTAATTAAAACTAACTAAGAAAAAAAAAGGTTAAAATTATCGGATCATCTTTATACTAATAATAATAATAATTATTATTATTATTATTATTATAGCAATTAAAAAAAAAAGGATCAATTGAAGGAAAAAAAATGAAAAAAAAAGAGATATAGCTGTAAAGCTACAATTTTCCATATATATAAAGACATCATTCGAGTATTTGGTGAAACTCTTGGGCACAAAATGCAAATATAAAAAGAATGTATTAACTGCCCACATACGCATTTTGTCCCCTCCCATAATTTTAGTTTACATAATTGCATTAACAAAATTAGCCATGGCTAAACATACACAAAAACATACACTTTTTTATTAAAAAAAAAAAAAAAAAGTCAATCTTTCAAAAGTATAAATACAACACTGTCCATGCATAAGAAACAATAAAATACAACCAAATTGAAAGCTGAAAGGAGTAACACACCACCCATGAAAACAAACCGGCATTACCAAGAATCTCCAAGAAGATGAAAACAATCACACCACCCATGAAAACAAAGCAGCAATCTTTGACTCATCATTTCTTCAACTTTATATCAGACAGTGCAGGACAGGCTGTAATCTTCAATTCCTTGAGGGAATTAAGGCGTTCTATCCCTTTAGGAAGAGATGACAATCTGGGGCAATCTCCAATCTCAAGTTTTTCAAGTGATGTGAGATTTTGGAACCACTCCGGAACTGCTTCTAACCTTTCACACTTTACAATATACACGTACTTCAGAGTCTCAGCAGATGATTGAAGAAGAAGCTGAGGCAAATCCACCAATGAATTCAAATAAGCAATTATGAATTTTTTAAGACCCAACCTCAGCACACGATCTTCTCCTNCTCAAGTTTTTCAAGTGCTGTGAAATTTTGCAACCACTCCGGTAGTGCTTCTAAGTTTCCACACCCTTCAATCCGCATGTAAATCAGAGTGTTGGCGGATGCCTGAAGAAGAAGCTGAGGCAAATCAACCAATGATTCTAAATCAACAATTATGAATTTTTTAAGACTCAACCTTAGCTCACGATCTTCTCCTTGCAATTCCATCTTCAAATTAATCTTGGGGCAGCTCCAAACTAGTAACATCTCTAATTTTGTCAGGTATTTGATAGTATCCGGTAACGAGATCACAGAACTGCTTCGTAGATACAACGTTCGGAGGCTTTTCAGACCTTGCATCCCTTCACACAAACGTAGTAGACTGTCGCAGCCAACTACATACAAATATTGAAGGGAACTCAAGCATCCAATTCCATTTTCTGGAAGAACCTCCTCTTGTGTGGTTATTTCCAAGCATCTAAGGCAGATCATCTTTCGTATGTTATTAGGCAACTTCTTAAGCTGATAACACCTACGAAGTCTTAATGTTTGCAAGTGCTGAAGCTCGCAAATAGATTCAGGAATCTTCTTCAATGAATAATTCCAAGCTAGATCAAGATACCTCAAATGTCTCAATGTACCGATAGAATCTGGCAACACTTCAAAACGTATACTACACAAGTGTAGTAGTCGAATGTACTTGAATTTCGATATATCTTCACTAATAAATGATCCAATAATACACGCATCTCCGTATTTCTCTGCTACTGGAAAGACTATGCTTCGAACACTCCTTGAGTTATCAACTATGAGTTGTAGAAATTCTTCCCCACATAACTCAGTGTCACCATGTGAAAAATGCCGAAATTTCCCATCAACTTGTTGGCTTCCGAAATTTATGAATGCGGACTCACCTTTTGTCATTGATATTGCAAGATCATGCATAAGATCATGCACTTTAAATGACCAATAATAATCATAATCCAAGAAATCCTCTAAGAAACCCCTTGACCATAAGTCTTTCATATATTGAACAGCAACATCTTCTAGCTCTTCGGCTCTATCAGAGGTTTTAAGAAGTCCAAGTGCCATCCAATATTGGGCCACGTAATAACTGAAATAATTATGATCCTTCTGAAACAAACAAAGATAAGTAAAACACTGCTTCAAGGGAGATGACAAATGATCATAGCTCAATTTCAATACTGGTAAGATGCCTTCATTATCTTGATCCACCTGCCAGATGTCATTTTTTTTAATTTTCAACCACTCACGTTCGTCTGTGTTTGCATAAAGTAAGCTCCCTAAAGATCTCACAGCCATCGGAACTCCTTTACATTTTCCTACAATGTCCTTCCCAATTTCAATGAGCCTTGGAAAATCAATCCCTTCTCCATCTTTGAATGCATACTTCTTAAATAATGAGAATGATTCTTCATTGGTAAGACCTTGTATAAAATGTGTGGGAACAGTGCTCATTATATCTGCAACTTTTTTACTTCGAGTGCTCACAATAATTTTACTTCCATTGACACCATTCACCAGCAAGTCTTTCAATTCCAACCATTTCATCGGCTTCTCATTCCAGACGTCATCCAAGACAAGCAAAAACTTTTTACCTGTCAAAATTTCTTGCAAACGCTTAGGAATTTCATCTCCTTTTAACTTACTACAATCCTCACGTGTTGCAGAATAAATAATTTCTTTCATCAATCTAGTGACATCGAAGACATTTGACACGCATGTCCATATCTTTAATGGAAAGAACTGATTTACTATTTCATCATTGTAAACCATTTTAGTTAGAGTGGTTTTACCCGAACCCCCCATGCCAACTATTGGAATGACAGAGACTTTAATGTCGGTTTGTTGCTTTAAAAAGCTTATGATCTTTCTTTTATCATCCTCTCTTCCAATAACATAAGAAGCTCCCAAGAAGGGATTAGTCTCCCTCTCCTTTGGAATTACATGACTAACTTCAGCAGGAGTACTCTGAATAAGAGAAAATCTACTCCTATCACCTGCGATCTGATCTAGCCTTTCTCTAATCTCCTTGATTTTATGACTAATTTCAGATCGGACAGCAACAGGATTGGAGCTTGAAAAGCATTGACATACCTTTCTTAATGTGCTTCTCTTTTGTCTCACCACCTCCCTCGTGAGAGCTTGAAACTCGAATTCTTCTAAAACGTCCTCAGCATCAAGGAAAACATCCTTAAGCTTCCCAAGCCAGTCACGCAGCTGATGATCTTGTGCCTGCTTTTCCTCAGCATCCGAGAGCACGGCTTGGATAGTGCTCAGGGTTCTCGCAAGGCTTTCTAAATCACTTTCAAGATTCCACAGCAAGGACACTTCCCGACCCACAAAAGAGCCTATCTTCCTCAGAACTTCTGTCGCAATGTTAAATAGAATTGATTCTGCCATTTTCTCTCAAAAAGAAACGAAAAGAGCGAGTATAAGCTAGTTGAAGATAACTGAGTTAGGTGAGAATTAATTAAGGTTTAGTATGCAGTATGCGCCTATCTTAGCTATAGTGCTAACGTAAAACTTCAAAAAGTCAGCATGCAAGGAATAAAAAATTGGTTACAGTGCTGGAGTTGGTATGAGAATCTCAAATCTAGCTATACCACTAACATAAGAGAATTAAAGTTGTTTGTAATGTGGAGATTATATGAAGTATATGTTTAAATAAAAGTTTTCTTTCTTCAATTCACAAGCGTTCATTTTTCAAGTCTAGATTTTATTTTTCAGTCCTCCGATTTCTAACAATAATGTATAACACAATCCATGGTTCAGGGCCAATAACTCTCACAACATTGTCTATACCTACCAATATACAAGTCACAAATCACAACCATCTTCAAAATAAGAAGATCAATCCAATATAAGGAAGTCTTCCGTCTTATGTTGACTAGGAAGGAAATAAAAACAAATTAGGAGAAAAAAATAAAATAAGTCCTAGAGATATAACATTAAACCATCGAGAGTCTTGGTTGTCCTGCATCTTTAAGCCTGTAGGCCAAAACAATATTTATTATAGAATGTCTCCTTTAATGCTACAACTTAAGTTCGACTCTGTTTTTGTGCTTTTAAACTTTGCTATACATATAATTTTTGTTACCTGTGTTTCGATTTGCATTACTTCTTAAGCATAATTTTCTGGGCCTGCTTTAAATTGGCAGGGTTTCAGAGGAATCTTCTACAGATGCAAATGGTTTTGATTCATTTTTGCATCAATCAAAGATGATCTTGATGATGTCACCCAGAAATGATGCGGGAAATTCTTCCTAAAGTTAACTGGAATCAGTTAGCTTCCATGTATGTTGAGGGTCGTTCTGGTGAAGAATGTGAAGCACAGTAAGTATGATCTTAGCATTAATATTTTATATAAATTTGTTTAAAGCGCAGTAAGGACGGACTGGTGCTCAATGTTCTAACAGGTTAGTTACCAGTTTCAAAGACTTTAACTTTTGTTCATATATTATTCGGGTGAAGCCTTCTAATAAATGATGCACGAACTAACATTAGAAGAATTAACAATGAATCTTCTTCAAAGGAAATGACTTGAATGATATATGATCTAATTACATGATTTGTCATCTGTATGCTGGGCAATACAGAAAACCTCAAGGAGTGACCCTTTTTTTGACTAATCTATTTATTTACTTATAACAATTCATAGAGGTTTCATTATATATTTTGTATATTACGGCGTGAATGTGGGAAAAATAATTGTCTTAGATGTATCAGCATAGTAACATCTTATCTATATTGTTTGCGTTAGTAATGATTCAGCCTTTGTGTCACTTAAGCAGTCCCATGCTGATAATCGTCTACCATGTATATGCTTTGGTTTATTCTTTTACTGAAAGAATATTGTAGTAGTTTTGTCATTATAGCTCTTAAAATCAGCCTGTCAAATAACTTGGATGGTTTATATGCAGATGGAAGAAAACGCTTCACCTCATGAGGCAAAGAGTTGGGAGATGGACCCCAGATGAAGATAAACGCCTGACAGTAGCTGCCATTCTTTTTGGGCCAAAGAACTGGAAGAAAATAGCTCAATTTGGGCCAGGTCGTACTCAAGTGCAGTGCAGAGGGAGGTATCCAGAAATAGTCTCAGATTCAGTTCAGTTTTTTATTCGACAAAATTTAACTTTTCATTTGGCTAGCAGATGGGTCAACTCTTGGGATCCTTCTGTGAATAGAGGTGAATGGACTGAAGAAGAGGATTTGATGTTGGAAGCTGCATTGGAAGAACATGGATTTAGCTGGTCCAAGGTTGCTGCTGCATTGCCTGGACGGATTGATAACCAGTGCTGGAGGTATGAAGTTTTGGATTTCACATATAGACGTGTGTTGAGGACAAAGTTGATTCTGATATCTTCTTATCTTTCTCTTTGCATCCTTTTCAATGTCTTCACGTTTGAAGTTCATGTTAATTGCACCTATTTTTTTGCCCTTATAAAATGAATGTATTTGCTTAGCTGTCCTACTCTCTCCCATATGGCTGTATCTTAAATATAAAGATTTGTACCAGAGAGATATACTGTATTACAAGTTTGATGATCTCACCTGCATTATAATTCATTCTGTCCCCTCTCATAATTTAAGTTAACATAATTGCATTAATAAAATTAGCCATAGCTAAATAAATAAATGTATAACTTTGAACTAATAACACTAGAGAATTTGGAAGTTAATGTACAAAGCATCTTAAAATATCTTCATCACCCTTTAATTACAATTAAAAACAAAATGAGAATAGGAAAATGAACTGAAATCATAATTATTATTTTAAAAAAAAAAAAAAAAAAACCTCGAAAGTACAAGGGAAATTTATTAATAAAAAGCACACTTAATATAAAAATACAACATCATCCATGCATAAGAAACAACCAAATACAACCAAATTGAAAGCAAATGAAAATGAAAGTTGGGACTAATTTTCCATGAAAAGAGATTAAGGAGCAACACACCACCCATGAAAACAAACCAGCGTTAACTAGGGAGCCTGATGCCACGATTAAAGATATTGAACCAGTGGAATATGAGCAATCTTCGACTCATCATTTCTGCAGCTTTCGACTAGAACAGGACAGTTTTCAATCTTCAATAGCTTGAGGGAAGTAAGGCGTTCTATCCCTTGTGGAAGAGATGACAATCTGGGGCAATTTGTAATATCAAGAGTCTCAAGTGATGTGAGATATTGGAACCACTCCGGTAGTGCTTCTAAGTTTCCACAGTGTCCAATATGTATGGTCTTCAGAGTGTCAGCAGATGCTTGAAGAAGAAGCTGGGGCAAATCCACCAGTGATGTTGAATAATAAATAATGAATGTTTTAAGACTCAGCCTCAAACCACGATCTTCTGCTTGCAAATCCATCTTCAAATTAATCTTGGAGGAATACGAAATCAATAAGATCTCTAATTTTGTTAGGTATTTGATGGTATCTGGTAATGATCTCACAGAAGTGTTTCGTAGATGCAACATTCGGAGACTTTTAAGACCATGCATCCCTTCACACAAACTTACTAGATTGGAGCATGCAAAAAAGTACAAATATTCAAGGGAACTCAAACATCCAATTCCATTTTCTGGAAGAACCTCTTCTTGTGTGGTTATTTCCAAGTGCCTAAGGCAAATCATCTTTCGCATGTTATTAGGCAACTTCTTAAGCCTAGAACAAGCACCAAGTCTTAACATTTGCAAGTTCTGAAGCTCGCAAATAGATTTAGGGAGCTTCTTCAATGAATAATTCCGAGCAAGATCAATGTACCTCAAATGTCTCAATGTACCGATAGAATCTAGCAACACTTCGAAAAGTATATCACACAAGTGTAGAAGTCGGAGGTATTTGAATTTGGATATATCTTTTCCAATAAATGACCCAACAATAGATTCATCTCCATATTTCTTTGCTGCTGGAAAGACAATGCTTCGAACACTCCTTGAGTTGTCAACTATAAGTTTTAGAAATTCTTGACCACATAACTCTGTGTCACCTGAAATCCTTTAAGAAACCCCTTGACCATAAAACTTTCATATATCGAATAGCAACATCTTCTACCTCTTCAGTTTTCTTAGAGGTTTTAAGAAGTCCAATCGCCATCCAATAATTGGCCATGTACTCACTGCCATAATTATAATCCTTCGGAAACAAGCAAAGATAAGTAAAACATCGCTTCATGGGAGATGGTAAATGATCATAGCTCAATTTCAATACTGGTAAGATGTCTTCATTATCTTAATCCACCTGCCAAATGTCATATTCTCTTATTTTCAACCACTGACATTCGTATGTGTTTGCATAAAGTAAGCTCCCTAAAGATCTCACAGCCAACGGAACTCCTTTACATTTTCTCACAATTTCCTTCCCAATTTCAATGAGCCTTGGAAAATCTTTCCCTTCTCCATCTTTGAACGCATACTTCTTAAATAATAACACAGATTCCTCAATGGAAAGACCTTGCAGAAAATGGAAGGGACCAGTGCTCATTATTTCTACGACTCTATTACTTCGTGTGCTCACAATAATTTTGCTTCCATTGACACCATTTAGCAATAATTTTCTTAGATCCATCCATTTCTGGGGCTTCTCATTCCGGACATCATCCATGACAAGCAAAAACTTTTTATCTGTCAAAATTTCCTGCAAATGCTTAGGAATTTCATCTCCTTTTAACATGCAACGATCCTCACCTGTTGCAGAATTAATAAATTTTTTCATCAATCTGGTGACATCGAAGTTATCTGGCACGCATGTCTACATCTTTAATGGAAAGAACTCATGTACTCTTTCTCATTGTAAACCATTTGAGTAAGAGTGGTTTTACCGAACCCCCAATTCCAACTATTGGAATGACAGAGACTCCCTCTCCTTTGGTTGGTTGCATTAAAATGCTTATGATCTTATTTTAATCATCCTCTCTTCCAATAACATAAGGAGCTCCCAAGAAGGGATCAGTCTGCCTTTTCTTTGGAATTACATGCCCATCTTCAACAGAAATACTCTCACTAAGACTAAATTTACTCCTATTACCGGCAATCTGATCTAGCCTTTTTCTAATCTCCTCGATTTTATGACTAATTTCAGATCGATAAACAACAGGATTAGAGCTTGAAAAGCATTGACGTACCTTTGTTAATGTGCTCCTCTTTTGTCTCACCACTTCCCTCTCGGAAGCTTGAAGCTCAAATTCTTCTAAAACGTCCTCAGCATCAAGGAGAACATCCTTAAGCTTCCCAAGCCAGTCACGCAGCTGATGATCTTGTGCCTGCTTTTCCTCAGCATCCAAGAGCACGGCTTGGATAGTGCTCAGGGTTCCCTCAAGGCTTTTTAAATCACTTTCAACATTCCACAACAAGGACACTTGCCGAACCACAAGAGAGTCTATCTTCTTTAGAACTTCAGTCGCAATGTCACATAGAATTGATTCTGCCATTTTCTCTCAGAAGAAACAGAGTGCGAAAATAACCTAGTTGAAGATGATTGTGTAGATAGGCGTGAAAGTAGCAGCATCTCTAATAATTAAAGCAGGAGAAAAGTATCCAAGATATGTGTGTATGACTTATTAATTTTTGAAACTCAATCCATTTGGTGAATCACGCCATTGACCATAGGCATTTATGACCTACTTTTCCACAGCTGTATCAAGGGAAGACTCTTCCCCAGCTCTGTAACCAGTTCTGGAATGTTGTTTAACTAACACCATTTACCTTGAATACAATACAATTCACATTGTGCTCTACAAGTTTTCTTCTAATTTTCTAATTGCAGTTTATCAGAACCTTAGCCTCAAGTTTAATATATACCCAAGTGTAGAACTCACTGTACAATGTACACACCAACGAAACGGCATGTAGTTGTTATTTGAAATGCAGGAAACCAGTTGAATAATATTGTATATGGAGTGTGGATATCTTTTTGTTAAAGTATGTGATATTTTGCTGGAAACTGGTTTGCTGTTCAAGTTTGTATTTTGGCGCCAAGTTTGAGTATGTTAAAGGCTGTCTTTCAATGCTGTATTTGGTTGGTTTTTTTGAAAGTATTATGTGACAGCCGGTGATTAAGGCCATTATATGTCACTGTAAATTAGTATTAGTTAGGGTTATTTAGAATGCCTTGTATTTGCAAAAAGTTCTCACTGCAAGAGTGGTTGTAACAGTGAAGAATTTTGTGTTTATATTCCCCTGTTCAATGAACGAAAACAGAGCAGATACAAGCTGAAGTCTTTCTCTTTTTTCAACTCTCTCTTTCATGCATGTTAACCTTCTTTCTCCTAGCATTACCAGACTCTAAAACCTACACTTTTGACAAATCGAAACTACTCTTATGGCAAATGGCAACTTGGGTTTGTTTACATTTTGCTGGAAGTTGACCTTCATTGTTATATTGGTGACACTGCCTGTATTACAATAATTTAACATTACAGGAAACATAAGATGTGCTTTAATTAACCACAAACTCAAGGATTAAACTCTTAAGACTAAGGAAGATGAATTGTAATAAGATGTGGTAATGGATATAAGAGTATTTACAGCCGAAAGCTTTAAATTGAGTTTATTAAAGTTGTATTCATACAGTGCTTAGCGTGAGCCACAAAGCCAAAGTCTTTTTGATTTCTAATATTTGCTGCAACATTATTTGAAAGTGGGTTTTCATGTACCTTCTCGTCAGCAAATCTATCCCAGAAGCGAGCCATGGCTCTTTCACATAGATCTTCAGGCACTAAAAAGTACTTTTCCTTCCACAACTCATCCATATATGCAAGAATTTTACATGTGATTCAGCAATTGGTTTCTCACCGTGAACCAGCACAGAGACCTTCTTATATACAGGATAGTATTTCAAAAAAATCTTTTACATTGAGCCAGTGAGGGATCCAACCCAATGCTCTCTAGATTCAAATATCCTATGGTTCTAAGAAATCAGGCTCATCTATCTAACAAAAAACAGAATTATAATGAGATGGGAAATCGTATAGTTCTTGTAGAGCAAAAATAATAATAAGAGAACTGAAAACATGCACAAAATTTTTTAATTTTTCATGTACCTTCTCATCAGCAAATTTATTCTAGAAGCGGGCCATGGCTCTCTCACATAGATCTTCAGGCAGTAAACAGTACTTTTCCTTACACAACTCATTGATATATTCAAGAATTTTACAAGTGATTCTGCAATTGGTTGTCATCGTGAACCAGCACAGGGACCTTCACTGATGAAAAATTATCAAAGTGGTTTTGCAGGTGGTGCAGCAAAGAAAAGGGGCCAGGATAGTCAGTGCCAGCCCCTTCACCGAGTGGATTGTAGCAGAAACCTATCCTTGTAACTTCCCAATGGAGCACATCGACCACTATTAAACACTCATGGAGGTTCAAAAGGCTACAAAGGCGATCATGTGCAAGGCATTTTTCATCACACTTAACGCAAACTGTCAAAGACGGGTACAGAACTTTACCCCTTCTAAATAAATAAACTTTGATGACTTGGCAAAAGCCTTCACTGTAAATTTTAAATCCCTCCAGGTAAGGAGGCAACCAGACTACAAAACAAGGTCTAGGGAAACCCCATGAACTTTGTAGATAGGAATCATCGTGAGGTCAATCAAGCGGACAAATACAATGAGAAGATCGTCCATCGAGGGTTGGTCATAGGGGAGACCAAGAAGTGGCTTGGCAAACTGTCTGTCTTCACTCCCCAAGCCTGTGATCATTTGTATAAATCTTGCTCGAGTCATGTTCACGTAGAAGAAAGGTTCAAGACGAGGTATCTAGGGCCACCCATTGTAGCCAAAATGCCTGAGAAGATACAACCACCTCCTTATTACAATGATGTAATGGGTAGGACAAAAAAAAGCGTGAAAGCATTTCCAAGACAAAAGTCTTGCTCACCGGGATGACTCCTATTATGGGAGGGGTGATTGCAACTACTCAGGTTGGTGGCTGGAAACTAAGTACTTCCTTCCTCAGTTGCGCCCTCCAGATGATCCTATCAAAGTTTACCTGAAGAAGAAGCTTAAAACCTTGTTCAAAGACCGGCCCCTTAAAAAGTATCCTGCCTTGACCTTGAGGAACCGTTATAAGTATTGTAATTATCACAAGATGTGTGCCATTCTCACCAGAGTTGGGCACGAAACGTCATATTACTTTGATCTTGAGGAGCTCATACAAGGAGAGGAGTATGTAGAGAAAACTTAGAATTGAGGAGCTCATACAGGAAGGAGAGTTGCCTGAGTACGTCACAGAGAAGACAGTTCCAGAAAAGGCAGAAGGTAAAGAAAGTCGAAAGTATCAACATGACTTGGGGAGGTTTTCTGGCAGGCTCAAGTCAGGCGAGGAACCCACCAGTAAAGCCAGCGGAACCCAGTAGAACCTGTTGGTGAACGATGATGATGTGTAAATAAGTAATGAGGAGGAACATTATAAGATTGTATTCACCAATGACTCCAAGTTCATCACCATCACATTGATGCCTGACAATGGTTTCATCACTACGATTTATATTATTACATATCTAGTACAAACTGATAAAAATCTGCGAACGATAGAAACGGTAAGGTGCAACACAGATAATGAATAAATATAACATAAGAATCCATAGAATCGTTTTAAGTGAGCACCTTTCTTGATTGACAATCATATAGGAATGCAACAAATCTAACCAACAAATTTTGAGCAATTTTCTTCTTGAGAAATTTTTTCCAACTTGATCGACATCTCAAAAAATGTAAGATGATGTAAAGACTAAAGATCATATCATACCCATAACTTAGTTTTGGGTAATAATGCAAGGTTGAAACTATGATTGTGTTCAAAACTATAATTTGATAGTTGAGAAAACAAATGTAATATCTAAATAATAAACAAACCAAAATAGCATAGGCCTCAAAGCCATGTAACATCCAAATAAAAGAAAACCAAAATATCCTTGGAAACATTTTGAACAAAATCTAAAATAGGTGTTCGAAACTGCCTACAGAGTAGTGCAACTAGTTTGTCATCAAAAATACGAAAACAGCATTATGGCAATCACTCTCAGTCTTCTTCCTAGTAACGCCCAATTCCCCACACTCTGATCACACCATCTGTATATCCACTAAACAAGGTGCTTCCGTCGGCACTCCAGTTCAAGCTTGTGCAGTAGATGTTCTGCATAATAAAATGCAAATTAACAAATGCTATCACATCAAACAGTAAAACCAATATTCAAATCATTACAAAAACTCAAGCTCCTAATGAATAATTGGCAAAACTATAACAACACAATCATGTTGAACAAAGATGCCCTCGATAACCCATTGTACAGAAGTAAAAACATATTATCAACAGCATGAATCATTTCCATCGAAACAATTAACTAAAAAATACTTAGTTTCTTTCTATCACGCAATAAACAACTCAGGTTGACCAACTAAACGATCACAAATGAATCAACTCAGCCGTAACAGAGAAACAAAACCACACTCCTTGCCAAAAAATCACAAAAGAGGCGTAATGTATAACACAATCCATGGTTCAGGGCCGATAACTCTCACAAGATCATCCACACCCACCAACATACAAGTAACAAATCACAACCATCTTCAAAATAAATCATAGAAAACCGCCTATACAAACACACTACCCAACCGAATTAAACTACAGTCATTCACACAAAACCAAAAATAAATAGACACCAACAAAGAATATACACCAAGTGATCATGTAGATGAATATAAACTATCAATAAATAAATTAAATTTCAATTTACGTAATTTATACCTTCTTTTTAATGGTGGTAGTAGCAGTGGTGCCCTCACTCTTCTCAGCCTCGGTCTTCAAATCAACTTTAAGATCCTCCACAATGCTCTTGCTCTCAAGATCCCAGATCTTAATACTCTGCTCAGTTGCAGCACACAACCAGTACCTATTTGGACTGAAACACAGAGCGTGAATCACAGCCCCTGCGTCCAATGAATACAATCTCTTACCTTCTGCCAAATCCCACAGCAATATCACTCCATCTTTCCCTCCACTAGCGCACAACGAACCGTCAGGTGACACCGCTACAGTATTCACATATCCACTGTGCCCTGCCAAAGTGGACCTTAGCTTACAGTTGCTCAAGTTCCATACTTTCACGGTCTTGTCCCAAGATGCAGAGACGATCGTCGGCTGCAGAGTATTAGGGCTGAACCTAACACATGAAACCCACTCGGTGTGAGCGTCACCGTCTTGAATGGTGTACTTGCATTCGCCGAGAGTGTTCCACAGCTTGATCGTGCGGTCACGGGAGGCTGAAACGATCTGACGGTTGTCAATGGAGAACGCGACAGAGAGGACATCTTTGGTGTGGCCAACGAAACGGCGGGCGGAGACACCGGCAGCCAGGTCCCACAGACGGAGCTCACCGTCCCAGGAGCCGGAGAGAGCGAACTGTCCATCAGACGACAGAACAACGTCCTGAACGAAGTGAGAGTGTCCGGTCAAACGACGTCGTGGGACACCATATGTTTTCTCTTCCTTAGTGAGGTGCCAGAGGATGATGGACTTGTCACGTGAGGCGGTGACAATCATGTCGGAGTTGTCGATGGGGGTGGCGATGGCGGTGACCATATCGGTATGGGCACGCATGGTTCCACGGAGTACGAGACCTTCAGCCATTGTGGGTTTGTTTGTCTGGTCTCTCGCTAGGGTTAGGGTTCGCAGAATTGATGAGGCGAGAGTGGCGAGCTAAGAGTCGGAATGAGAAATGGTAATGTTTATATAGTGATCGTGTCGGAGATTAGGGTTTTGGGGTCACCGAGACAGTCGGTTGCATGTAAGTGTCCAGTGGACTTATTTGATAGTTGGGGATTGCATTAGGGTTTGGGATGGTTACCGGGTATAGCCAGTCATATGGGATAGAATTTGATTTTGGGTTTAATCTAAATCTAAAATCTAAATAATCTAATTAAGATGTTTGGGTATTAGTGTATTACTCAAAAAGATTATGAGTTCAATCCATCTATGTTGTTAATAGCGGTAACCATTGAGGGAATTTACCCGATTGTCAATTTCAAAGCCTTGGAGGATTAGTTGAGATGCGCATAAACTAGCCTGAACACCTTTAAGCATAAAAAAAAAAAAATCTAATATACACTATATAGTCATAAAAGATGGGGGTTGTGTTGAGTGTTGGAAAAACAGATTTATTTAGTGATTTGGGGCTGAAATTATAAGAAATTCAAGTTTTGACGCATTATTTATAATGAGTTTCTGCACTTGTTTTGTTATCTCCCAAAATCACTGGTTTTTGTTGTGTTTTCAGCCTAGTTAGTAAAAACGCGTATTATACGTGAATTGTACGGACAACCGTATAATTCGCGTATAAAACGCACGTATATATATTTTATAAAATCTATCGTATAATTCGCGTATAATAAGGCTTCCCGTATAATTCACGAACTATTCGCGAATTATTGAAAAAAAAAAATAAAAAAATCTCACCCCTAAAACGACGTCGTTTTAGTGGGCTTTTACTAAAAATTAAAACATATCTCTCTTCTTCAGTTCTTCACTTCTTCTTCCTCAATTCGGTTCTTCTTCTTCCTCGGTTCTTCTTCAGCTTTTCTTCCTCAGTTCTTCACAAATTTCCACAAGCAATCAACTCTCACAATCAACACACAACAATCAATTCTAGCAAACAAGCTATCAACTCCCACAACTAACTCCAACAAACAAATTTCCATAAGACAGTTGCTCAGGCAACAGAGACGATTGCATACTCACAAATCGGGCTACAGAGCGGCGAGGTTGAGGACATCGGCGAACCCAATCATGTGAACCAATCCCAATCCCAATCACAAAACACAAAACCCAAGAACGGTGTGAGGGGGCGCAGATCTTGGCCACACGCAGTGGCCAACTGTGGTCAGTCGTCGGTCGACAAGAAATGCAGAGGGAGAATAGAAGAAACAGAAGAAGAGGGAGAGAAGAGAAGGGAAGAGAAACAAAATAGACGTAAGTTTATACAAAAGAGACGAAGGTTTAAGAAGGAAGTGAAGAGAAGGTGGAGAAAACAATGAAAAAGAAGAGAAGAAACTTACAGAAGAAAGAGAGAAGAAAGTTTCGAAAAGAATGAGAAAATGAAAAAGAAGATAAAGGAGGGAGAAAATTTAATAAAATATATAGTTTTACATGGTACATTTGTAATTTTTGTAAACTGACTGCAGGGTGTATTTGTAATTTTTGTAAACAATTGGTTTTGTTATGACTGTGTTTGATTTGACATTATAGTTGAATCTTGGCTAAATATTGTGTTTGAATCTGGAGACTATAATTTGAATATCAGTTATATTTATATATTGTGTATTTGTGTTATTGGTTAATTGAATACTTTGCATTTGAAATGTTATATTGATTTTAACCAGGTTGTCCAAGAGATATCATGCCTATCTTGATTAGCTCTATGAATTGGTTCCTTCGTTGTTTAGACTAGGCTACACGCCACTAGCTAATTTGAATGATGAAAATACTAGGTTGAACCCAATGATGTACGAACCCTAGAATGGAATGGAGAGAACAGTAGTTTGATGATGAACACGTGGCTTGATAATTATGATGGAATTGGAGCCTTAGGATTCTTTGTAGATAGTTAGATTTAGATTTACTTTAAAGTCGATTTTATGTTGTTTTTATTTCAATTCTTGTCATTTTCACAAGGCATAGTTACTAGGATCGCGAGAACATCTCCAGTCTCTATGGGATCGACCCTTACTCGTGCACTATGCTGCGATTATGACTTGTGCATTTACGAAGGATTAAACTTTGTATGTCCAAACAAGTTTTTGTAATTTGATTCATTGGATCATATTATAAATTCATCATACAAATCAATCGTTAAATTATATTGTAACTTTAGTTTTCAATAGACCTGGCAATCTTTGACCCGTACCCGCAGTTAGAGTTGGCCCATGTCACGGCATGACCAGACATGAAAAAAGCACGACATGACATGAAAATATACAGGTCGTGCCATGGACCTTAAAAAAAGCCCGTGGACTGACACGGCACGGCACAAAAAAATAAAATTATAAAATTAACAGTTATTTTAAAATAGTTGTTACCCCCCTACATTGGGGGCGAGGGTGTGGTTAAACTTAAAATCGTGTTGCTGAAGCCATTATGTGTATGAAAGATTGGGTGGCAGTAGATTTCAAGCTTCAAAATTGTGTTGTTGAAGATATATTTGAAGATTTTAAGAATTTAGAAATTAATGAAAATGAAGATGTATAGCGGGTCATGCCGTGGGCCTTCAAATTTTGTGGGCTGACATGACACGATAGGGCACAAAACTGTGCGGGCCTTGGCATGGCATGGCCCACGGCACGATGGACCTTGAATTTTTAGGCATGGAACAACACGGCCCACCACCACTTCTATTGCGAATCCACGGGTACCCGGGTAAAACAGGTGAGTATGAGTGCTCATAATATTTACCCGTTCCAAAATTACCTATACCCCGCCCACTCGTAAAAATTGCGGGTGAGTCGGGTGATACCCTTAGGTACCCACACAAAATTAAAACAACAATCCACTATCTCCTTTCAACTCTGCATCACTTTCTCTACAAAACAAACAAACAAATAAGTATTTTTATTCTCTTTTTTCGAGATTCAATTCAAAGTTTGGAATGGCGATTTCAGTTTTTGCTTCAACAATTCCTACCTTAAGCACTAAAGCTTCTTCTAAAAACCTCTCCAAACTCTCATCGCTATCTTCTTTGCAGTTCCCTGTATAGTTCCGTCATATTCAAATTATTAACAACAGCCAGATTTCATCTCCCTCCTAGCCTCATCCTCTGGTACTTATTTGATTTGTGTTTTGTTTAGCTAAAGAAGAAGGAAGAGAAAGGTTGTTGGGATTGTTGAACTTTCTCTCTCTTATTGGTTTTTACTTTGTGGGTTGTTTTTGCAGGCGATAGAATTTTCAGGGTTTAACAAAGAGAGGCGATGGGCTAAGCTTAGTCTTTGGTGGGAAATAACAAAAAAAAACTGGAAAAAAAAATACAGAAAAGTCTATTTTATACGGGCGGGTATGGGTCATGCATTTCCTGATCTGTGAAATTTTTTTACCCATGCTCGTTTTACTTGTTACCCGGCCCGTACCCGTCCGCCCCGCCCGTTTGCAAGGTCTAGTTTTTAATATTATGAGATAATTGTCCAATTTTATTATGATTTATTATTGCATCTAATATGCTAGCAGTCGGAGCCAACTGGGACAACATACCAACCCTTTCCCTAGTATGAGAGGATCAGGAAGAACACACATTTTGTGTACAAGTTATCATACCCTTATCGGCAAGTTTTCTATGTCTTATACAACGGATGGAATCTGCGAATGTTATAAATCAATTATATGTGTTACAATTTATTTATCATTTGCTATAACTATGAATCATTACAATTAGCAAGTTTATTAATACTATTTATATTATATATTGACATTTTGGTACACATGGAAATGTGAGCAATATGATATTATAATTGGGCATGAACAAATTATGATGAACTATAAAACTAGGAGGAAAATGAAATCAATGTTTGGAATAGTTTTTATGGGCTGAAATCGAGCCCAATATGTTGGCATTGGGTCCAATTGAAAACGAAATGAGAATTACATCACGATATTATTGACATACAAACTCCCGTGACATTAAGAAATAAAAGGTTTCATCCACTTATCATACTCTAATGAAAAGTATCACAATTCACATTTAGCATTAGTTCACAAAAGGAAAAATAAATATTCTGTTAGGAGATTAAATTATTATAATAAATTCCGATTATAGAGTTCTGTGTACATAGGTCGAAACTATTGAAGCCCCCCCCCCCCCCAAAAAAAAAACGACATATTCCCACCCAAAAAAAAAGCCCATTGACCAATTTATATCACCCACTTTTTTAATATCTTTTTAGTGCCCAAAACATAATTTTGTTAGTAATTTTTGTTGTCAAGAAAGGCAAAATAGTCAAAAGTCCATTATTAATTAAGGCAGAATGATCCACATGTAAGCATAAAATACTGATTCTATAGTGTAGAATAAATACTTTAAAACAGAATCGAAAAGCTTAATGCCAAAGAAACAGTACCTCCAGCCATTGATGTTCCTCACAGTTTTGCTACGATCTCTCATTGATGTATGGTACTTCCAAACTCTACTTACTCTATTTAGATGGTGTAAGACTGAAGNAACGACATGCTCCCACCCAAAAAAAAAAAAAAGCCCATTGACCAATTTATATCACCCACTTTTTTAATATCTTTTTAGTACCCAAAACATAATTTTGTTAGTAATTTTTGTTGTCAAGAAAGGCAAAATAGTCAAAAGTCCATTATTAATTAAGGTAGAATGGTCCACATGTAAGCATAAAATACGAATCTATAGTGCGGAATAAATACTTTAAAACATAATCGAAAGGTTTAATGCCAAAGAAACAGTACCTCTAGCCATTGATGTTCCTCACAGTTTTGCTACGATCTCTCATTGATGTTTGGTACTTCCAAACTCTACTTACTCTATTTAGATGGTGTAAGACTGAAGGGGATTAAGTGATTGACTCTGGGGACCAAACTGTTGTATTTATAGCCAAAGCTTCCATCAAGCTTCCGCGGCTACATGTCCCACTTGTTTAGTTTATCATAGGGCAATTCCACGTTCTACGAACGTGATGAATATCCGAGTGGACCACTTCAGGTGCTCCTAAAATGAAGGGGAGCTAGAGACTCGTTCTTACGAACAGCCTCTGTGAGAAACAGTCAACACCACAAACATTGGTTGTCAGAGAAGAAGAACAGTGCACGTTAGCAAGACATGGCACACATTAGCAGCATCATAACTGATGGTTTTTGCAGTTTTTCCACCAATCTCGATGTTCAAAATCATTTTTGAGACCACTCACAAAATCCCCATCACATCCTCTACAAGGCTAAGCCTCTATTTGTTATCATCACTTACCATTTCCCACCACCAACTCCATTCGCACAGTCAACTCTTCAAGCTGGATTTCTGGTTGATTTCTTTGCAATAAATTCCCCCAGACACCACCATCACACTCCTCATAACCCACTCCGCAAAACCTTTACCTCCATCTCGTCCCTTGCTTGCTGATTGCCAACCGTGCACCACGCGACCTTTCAACCTCCAAGCCGATTTCTAATCGTTTCCCATGTCGAAAATCGTCCCTACCACTACCAATCAACTCCCTGGATCTTCCTTTTCAAAAGCCCCAACATTCTAGATATTATTTGCTCACCAATCCCTGGCGATTGAAGCTTCCCCACCCTAGGGTTTTTCAGGTTTTAATTGGATTAATTGGGTTTGATTTGTTTCATTTTTGTGTTGTTGGGTTGAAAGACAATTGAGGAATGTTTGTTTGTAATATTTTCTAGTCACCAACACTCCCCAACGTCGACGGCAATTGTCAGCAATGGAAGAGGCTAAGAAGAGGGCTTTTTAGTAAATTACTACATTTCCCACCCAAACCATAGGGAAACATATTATTTAAGTAGTAAAAGAGTATTTTAAAAGTTGGAGGGTGGGAAAGTGTTAATGGAACTTTTTTTGGGTGGGAACATGTCGTTAACTCAAAAACAAGAAAAAAAAAAACAAAAAAGTAATTTTAATGTAGATTCGCTAAACAATTTTTCGCTGGAGTTAATGTTGTGTTACTAAAATTATAAAGTGATTGATTAATAAGAAATAATTGTAGTAAACAACATTTTCCCATCTAAATAATGGTTCAATGACACTTTCCTACACATAAACTTTTAAAATATCATTTTACTACCCAAATTTATATTTCGTTTCTGATTCTGGCATTGTTACGACCTCACACTATCACCATTCTCTCACCCGATCATCACTCAGTAAAACCCTCAAACGTACTCCCGTTAATCTCGCCAATCGCCAACAATTGACCTATTAGGGTTTGCGCAACCGTCCCTCTTAAGTCAAATTCCGAGCAATCTCAACTACCAAAATCCAACATTCTACCTCCAAAAGACTCATTGGCCTCCCCTTTTTAGAAGTCACAACAGCCTGAACCGGGTTTGCTCACTATTTTCTGGCAGAGTATAAATTTAAGTAGTATAATGATATTTTAAAAGCCTGTGGGTGGGTAGATGTTATTAAACCATTATTTAGGGTTATTAACTCTAACGTTATTGATATAAAAGTATTTTCTTTTAATATTATTATTTTTGGGATAAGACACGAATTTATTGTTAAATACTTAAATGGTCCGATTATTGCACACCCTAATAGTTGATTTACTAGATCACCCTCTACTCATGTTTCCATAATAAGGAAAACGACCCAATTCTACTCGTAAATAACGACTGATACTGAGGAGATTCATGTCATTTCATTAAAATGTTACAGCCTCTTACCCCCGTTTGAAATTCAAAATTCATTTCCAAAAACCCGCCCGCCTCCTTCTCTTCCTCTTTCCCTTTAAAAACCCAAAGCGAGCGTCTTCTCAATCACCCCCGATTATCCTGCGCACATCCACTTATCCTGCGCACTTCAACTCTTCTTACTCCATGGCGCCAGATATCCAGCTCCCGTGCGACGGAGATGGCCAGTGCATGCGTTGCAAAGCAAAACCACCGGCCGAAGAGAACCTCACGTGCTGCTTGTGCGCCACTCCTTGGCACGTCACGTGCTTGACTAAACCTCCGGAGACTCTCGCCTCTGCCGTTTCGTGGCATTGTCCGGATTGTTCTGGAGATGAGAAGGCGGCTGTACCTTTGGGCCCGGCGGCGGCCGGAGAGGGCGGGCAGATAGTGGCGGCGATACGGGCGATTGAGGCGGACGAGACGTTGACGGACAAGGAGAAGGCGAGGAAGAGGCAAGAGTTGATGAGTGGGAGAGTTGAAGAAATGGAGGGAAACGACGAGGAGAAAAAGAAGAAGGGGAAGGAGAAGGAGAGTGAGAGGGAAAGAGATGTTCTACACTTGCTCGATGGGAGCTTGAACTGTTCGTTTTGTATGCAGTTGCCTGAAAGACCTGTTACGGTGAGGTTTTGATTGTTAAAATTAGGGTTTTTTTTTTTTTTTTTTTTTGGTTTGTTAAATTTTGATTGGTGCTTGCTTTAGAAAAGTAACTTTTAGACTTGGAAGTACTTTTTGGAAGAAAAAAAAAGCAGTTTAATGGTAATTTTCTGGAAAGGGATTGCTAAAATTAGTTTTCTAAGAAGTGCTTTTTGAAAGAACTCATAAGTCATAACAGTATATCTTAAATAAGCCATTTATGGGGAAATATTTTAGATTTAATAATAATAATAATAATAATAATAATTATTATTATTATTATTATTTTTATTTTTATTTTTATTTTTATTCAATTAATCTTGATTATTTACTTTTTGTAACTGAGTTTGAGTACATAGTTTTGGGTAGTGACAACATGTCAATTAGGGAAATGATCATGATGTTAGTTTCGGCATTCATGTAGTATCACTGACGTTATGCCATATTTTAACGAATTTGTTTTCGGAACTAAGATTAGCGCACTATTTTTCAGAGGAGCTAATAATTTTGTATAGGAAATGGTGTACATTAAGATCAACCATCTTAATTGAAGTCAGTAGTTAATTCTTGTCTAAATGCTTCTAAGTCATCTATGTGTAAAAATCTGGAGACAATGTAATGTTAGCTGCAATGAAGTATTGGAATTTGATTAGAATCTTGTTTGTGTTGTTTTAGACCCCATGTGGCCACAATTTCTGCCTTAAATGCTTCCAGAAATGGATTGGGCAAGGGAAGCGTACCTGTGCTAAATGCCGCAACACAATTCCTCCCAAAATGGCAAGTCAGCCTCGCATTAATTCTACACTTGTAGCTGCCATCCGTATGGCAAAGCTGTCAAAATCAAACCAAGCTTGTGGACCACTGAAGGTTTATCATTTTGTGCAAAACCAAGATCGGCCAGACAAGGCATATACTACTGAGCGTGCACAGAAAACTGGGAAGGCCAATGCTGCCAGTGGAAAGATTTTTGTCACTGTACCACCTGATCATTTTGGGCCTATCCCGGCAGAAAATGATCCTGGGAGAAATCAGGGTGTGCTGGTTGGCGAATGTTGGGAAGATAGATTGGAGTGCCGGCAGTGGGGTGCTCATCTTCCTCATGTTGCTGGTATAGCTGGACAGTCAACATATGGTGCTCAGTCAGTGGCTCTCTCTGGAGGTTATGAGGACGATGAAGATCATGGAGAGTGGTTCCTCTATACAGGAAGGTCTGTCTTTGAATGCCTCTTTTAACTGCTTTTAGTTTTCTCAGCACCTTATCTGCTTCTTCATTTATCATTATTTCTATTTCTTTTTCTGTAAAACCATCAATTTGTTACTTGCTAAATCTGGTTGATGTTGGTAACCAGTAGCAATTTTCTTAATGATCTTAGCTTAGTCTCTTATGTGCTTGTAAATGCGCTTTTATGTTTTGATGCATTCAACTTCAAATAATTTGTAATTGGCAAAACATTATGAACTGCAATTTAACTTGCCCTCATGCTTTGCCTTCCATTCAATTGCATTCTTCTTTTTCACAATAAGTCTTTACATTTTCAAATTATTTCCCCCTTCTAATAACTTTTCCTTCTGCATTTTTATCAAGTTTTTCCTGTGCACTTTCTGATGCCGTGTGAAACTTCTGATTGCTTGCTTGTGACTAGTTAATATGTTTTTTAGTTGAAACTTGTGATTGATTTATCCTGTTTTATAGTTTAGCTTGTTTGACATTTGCATGGCTGTGGTTGGCAGTGGAGGTAGAGATCTCAGTGGTAACAAACGTACAAACAAGGAGCAGTCCTTTGATCAGACGTTTGATAAAATGAATGAGGCCCTCCGAGTTAGTTGCAAAAAGGGCTACCCTGTCCGGGTTGTAAGGTAAGTATCAATGTAACTATCTTATGGTAGCTTGTACCCTTTTGTTTCTTATATGAAAAATGCCTGACTATCCATCCATTGTTTTTGGAGTTCATTTTAATTAATGTCGATTGCAAAGATTAATTTCTTTCTACTCTAGCATGAAAGCAGAATTGTGTCAGAAAATAAGCATTATGGATAGCTTCGACATGTTAGTTTAGGACTCTAAATTATTTGGATGTAGTTTTCTAATAAGGGTGATTCAATTTGACCTGTTGCTAAAAGTTGTCACGCTTATATTAATTCTTGTTTTGCTTTCACGAATTTTGAACCTTAAAGTCTTGTAATAATCATGCCCATGATAATTGTAGTAATCTTATCATGTTGTTATATATGATTTAGTTGTCTTTGTTTGAAGTAGTGGTTTGTGAACTTAAGATTTGATATGCCCCTTTAGAAACTCTGACCTCACTCACACAGTTTCCTTTCAATTGATGACTAGGTCTCACAAAGAGAAGCGCTCTGCTTATGCCCCTGAGAAAGGTGTGCGCTATGATGGAGTCTATAGAATTGAAAAATGCTGGCGAAAAGTTGGAATTCAAGTAAATATATTCCATTTGCTATATCAGAATTTCCATGAAGATTGTTTCAGCTGAACCTATTTACTAATAGGTGTTATCTTTGTGTAGGGTTTTAAGGTCTGCCGGTATTTATTTGTTAGATGTGACAATGAGCCTGCTCCATGGACGAGGTTAGTGCTTGACCTCAATTGATTTCTTTCACTGGATACTGACTTTGCTGACATTCATAAACTTTAATGACAGTGATGAATATGGGGATAGACCAAGACCTTTGCCAGTTATTCAAGAGTTTAAGAAGGCTACTGACATAACAGAGAGGAAGGAAAGTCCATCCTGGGACTTTGATGTGAGTTGATGAAGTTTCTTTCCTTAATATGAATACTTTATGTATTGTTTCTACTGTTCTTCGAAACGTGTTTTCTGTCACCCCATTATCAATGTGGCAATGAAAATCTTAATGCTAATACTTAAATTTCATATACATTTTCATGGAACATTTTAGAATTGATGTTTCAGTGGAACTTACACCCATCTCCCACTGGGTCAATTTGTGGTTTTCACTTAATTCTTGGTGTAACCATTAGTAATTTTTTCCCCTAGACATAAGTAATTATGCTTTTTTTCCCCATCTGCAGGAAGAAGATTCTCACTGGAAGTGGAAAAAACCCCCGCCTCCCAGCAAAAAACCTGTGGGTACAGGAAATCCTGAGGACAGGAAGAGGATAAGGAAAGCTATAAGGCAAGCACAAAACACAAGTGTAAGAGAGAAGCTACTGAAAGGTGTGTTTATCTATCCCTTTACTCATGTCTTGCTTAGGGAAGTTGGTAGTTTTCAAATCTTAATAAAGAACTTTGTTTTTGTCAGTAAGTTGTTAGTCAATGAACTTGACGAAGTTGCAGTATGTAAAACAATGTATTCCTAAGGTTAAAGTTTACTGTACTTGATTTTGTTGGTGGATTACAATATATATCATCTATCACATATAAAGATTCAAAAAGTGAATTGTGCTCACTTGGTAAATCTTTTGTGCGCAGAGTTCAGCTGCCTAATCTGTCGGCAAGTGATGACTCTTCCAATTACCACACCTTGCGCTCATAACTTTTGCAAGTCATGTTTGGAGGGTGCATTTGCTGGTAAGACTTTTATCAGGGACAGAAGCAAAGGTGGACGGACACTTCGAACACAAAAGAATGTCATGCAGTGCCCTTCATGCTCAACCGACATCTCTGAATTTCTTCAAAATCCTCAGGTCTGTGAACACACCTTTGCTGTCAACTGTTCTCCCTGTTTCTACAAAAACATAGTGAAGTTAGTTAAACTTGAAACACTAAAATCTAATGGCATTAAAACACTTGTCAGTGAATACTGTGGTCTACCTTTTTCCTTTCAGCCCAGCGGCTAAATGATGCATTAGCTAATATCTTTGCATTTCCAAGCACAAATCTCTTGCCATGATCGGACATTTTGCTTCTTAATGAATTTTAATGTGACAGGTTAACAGAGAATTAATGGATGTGATTGAGTCACTGAAACGTAAGACTGAAGAGAATGAAGATCCTGCTGCTGAGTTGAGTGAAGAAGAGACTGATGCAATGGAGGGAAATCTTGATCCAACATCTGCAACCAATGACACTGCTGCAAAAATGTCTGAGAAAAGTGACATGGAAGAGGATTTGCAGAATACTCCTGCCAAACGGACTAGCAAGCAGATGAAAATTGACAAGGATGGAGAGAAAAACGAGATTTATACTGAGAAGCCTGATGACACTGCTGAAGAAATGTCTGAGAAAAATGACTTGAAAGAGGATTTGCAAAGCACTCCTGCCAAACGGACTAGCAAGCGGATGAAAGTTGACAAGGATGGAGAGAAAAACAAAATTTCGACTGAGAAGCCTGATGTTCCAGATGCAGACACTGTGACTAAAGAAGTTCAGTCCGGAGTCCCTGATAATAGCCACAAACACTTGTCTAACGACGGTGGCAGCTCAGTAAAAGAGAGTTCTGGGGCACAGACTCCTGCAAATGGCAAACCCAAACGGATTAGCAAGCGGATGAAAGTTGACAAGGATGGAGAGAAAAACAAGACCTCGACTGAGAAGCCTGATGGTCCAGATGTAGACACTGAATCTAAAGAAGTTCAGTCCAGAGTTCCTGAAAACTTGCCTAACAAGGGTGGAATCTCAGAGAAAACGAGTTCTGGAGTACAGACCAGAAGCATGAAAGCTCAAGCACCAACAGATGAAGGAGACTCCCCATCAAGTACCCTACATCTGCAGTCATCAGATGATGATTTCGAATAGCTTGTTGGATACCATCAGGTATGCAACTTCATTTTGGCAGTGAAAGTTACTGCAATTTAAAGATACTATTGGTTGTTATATATTCCTATCTTTTGGGAATAGGGCTAGGGAAATTAGGGATTGACCACAGCTTAATTAGTATATGATAGCTGATTTTTGGGGAGATAAACTGCGAATACTCAGTTTCTCCTATTCGATCCTAAACCAATATGTTTGATGTATTTGATATTAATGTCAATTGAATTTCAACATTTGCACTTGGAAAAGTTAATTGCTCTTTTGTAACATATGCTTGCACAACGCAATCAATAATATTATACAAAATGCACATCATGGGCGTTAACACAATTGATCATGATTAGATGCATGTATATGAACCTGTCCTAGAAGAATTTTCGGAATTTATTGTTATAAAATAATCGATTATTATATTAGTAATAACAAATAATGAATCTATTGAATATGAAAATAATATAATTAAATATCAATAAAATAAAATGACAATACATTAAAATTAACAATATCAATAATGTATAGGAAATTTTTTAGAATGACAGAAAAAGATTCGGAGAATATAACCTTAGGATGAAAACTGAGGCCTATGTAACATAGTTTCTTTAAAACAGATTTGTCTCCTTCATTTGGGTGTACAAATATTTGAGCAACGTCTGTTTCTTAGAATATAACGATAGATGAATAGCAAGAGAAGCATTACTCTTTTATTCTCTCGAACTGAATTAAATTTTAACTCCAAAAAAGGAAAACCTTAAAAACTGGAGAAAAGATGAGAGATTGAAATTTTTTAGTGTGTTTAAAACGAGAGAAATAACGTCTTTTTATACTATTTAAGGTGGGATAAAACATTGAATTCCACCATTAGTTTCCATCTTTTCATTTTCCAATTCTTAAAACCTCCTCTATTAATCCACTCTCAATTGACACCATCATTTTCATTCCATTTATTTCATTCAATTTATTAAAATATTCCAAGATTTATTGACACATAGAAGATGCAAAGTATTTGTATGTTTGAACCAACCATGTAAATCAATCAAAACTATGGATTTATTCCTGAAATACAGAGCGAAATTTCTGATAAAATTGGTGTACTTGTTTATTTATTTATATTTATATAAGCAGCATCAATTGGCAAAAGCAGATATGCATCCTGAAATAAAATGGGTGGTTACATTGCATGCTTAATTGATTTACAATAATGCTAGGGACACCGAAAATTTTACATCGAAAATATGTACCGGCCTACGTGTAACACGCATCTGATTTGTTTAATAATTTTTTTCTACTGAACGGCCGTCCATCAAATTTGGACGGCCGTTCACTCACATGGACGCCCGTCCATATTATATGAACAGGTGTCTATATACAAGGGATGGGCGTCCCCATTTAAAGGACGCCCGTCCTTGATTAAAATATCATAAAAAATTTTATAAACATTAGGGACGACCGTTCATAAATTTTGGACGGCCGTCCCTTACCTTTGGACAGGCGTCCATTCCTAATGGACGCCCGTCCATGCTTTAAAAAAAAAAAAAAAAAAAAAAAAAAATTCTAAACCTCTTCTACTTTGGTCTTCTTCTTCGTCTTCATTCCCCATCTCCGTCTTCATTCCCCATCTCCTGGATTCTCATGTTAGTTCTTAGATTACTGCCAGTTGCATTAATTGGCATTCCAACTTCACCATATAAATCTGGGTTTCTTGATTCTCTCTCTCTCTCTCTCTCTCTCTCTNATTCGAAGAATATAACCTTAGGATGAAAGCTGAGGTTTCTGTAACACAATTTCCTCAAAGCATATTCGTCTCCTTTACTTGGGTGCACAAGTATATGAGCAACGTCTGTTTCTTAGGATATAATGATAAATGAATAGCAAGAGAAGTTTCTATTCTCTCGAACTGAATTAAATATTAATTCCAAAAAAGGAAAATCTTATAAACTAGAGAGAAAATGAAAGATTAAAATTTTTTAGTATGTTTGAAACGAGAGAAAAACGTCTTTTTATACTATTTAAAGAGGGATAAAACATTAAATTTCACCATTATTTTCCATCTTTTTAATTTCTAATTCTTAAAACCTCCTCTATTAATCCACTAACCTTTCATCTTTCAAATTCTCAACTTACACCATCACTTTCATTCCATTTATTTCATTCAATTTAGTAAAATATTCCAACATGTATTCACACATAAAACATACAAATTATTTGTGTGTTTGAACCAACCATGTAAATCAATCAAAACAATGGATTTATTCCTGAAATATAGAGCGAAATTTCTGATAAAATTGGTGTACTTGTTTATTTATTTATATTTATATAAGCAGCATCAATTGGCAAAAGCAGATATGCATCCTGAAATAAAATGGGTGGTTACATTGCATGCTTAATTAATTTATTACATTTTATAAACTTATCTCATTATAGACACTAAAATTAAGGATCCAACTTCTCGAGAAAAACTAGGGTTTTGAATATAGTTTAATTTTAATTTTATAATATTTTATATCTAATCTTTTTTTTTAAAGTCAAATAATCCCTCATAACTAGATTGACCAAGCATCCTCCACATTCCAGAGCTTGTCATTCGGGTAAATTACACAAACCTCCATGTGGCTTGTCTAAAATACATGTAGATCCTCTAAATTTGAGGAATATCAACATACACCCATGATTAAAAATTGCATTTTTATTTTTTAGGGACAATAGAGTCATTTGACTTGAAAGATATAAATAAAATCCAAGAAATAAGATTGAAAAATTGCATGAGGTACTTCTTGTTATGGTTCATTTGAAAGCATAGAAGTTATCGTTATAATTATAGAATTAAAAATGTATTGAATATTTGATATATGCAATCATGTAGTCGTCATGGCTAGAAAGAAAATGACGTGTACCATTTTAGTTGCCTATAATATATCATTTGAATCCTCCCTTGTTTTTTAAAAATGAGCTTATGGACTCTTAACCCCAACGAGTCACCGAAGGACATGACAATTAGTCAGATGCGATCATGTTGGAATCTTTCATGAATGAACAGTCGTTCAATATTTATAGATGTCCACCCATATTTAATGGACTCTCGTTCATATTATATGGACAGGAGATAGATACCCATCCAAAAATTTTTAAAAGAAAAATAATGGACGTCCGTCCATCTTATATGGACATGTGTTTATTTACTATAGACGAGTGTCTATATAAGATGGATGCCGGTCCAAAAATTTTTAAAAAATTTTACATTCAATGGACAGACGTCTCTTTTAGATGAACGCCAGTCCATTGTTTAGTTTAAAAAATTTTACATTCAATTTTTTTCTCAATCCAAAAATCAATATTCATTTTAAAATTTTCAATTAGAATGTTTAAAAATTTAGACCTCTCAAAACAGGTTTCATTTATCTCTTGTATTTTGTTTATAAATGAAAAAAAATTGAGAATGGACGCTAGTTTTCATTTCTCTCTTGCATTTTGTTTATAAATAAAAAAAAAAAAAAAAATTGAGAATGGACGACCATCCAAATGAGTGGACTGGCGTCCATACTTTTACTTAAAATCAATTTTTTTTTTTTTATTTCATCTAAAAATTTTATACTTTAAAAATAAATATTTCATCTAAAATTATATGGACGTCCGTCCATATAATATGGATGACGGGTGTTCATAAACAATTTAGGCCAATTTTTTTTAATTTAAACTATGAACGGACATCCATTCTAGTTGGATGACCGTCCATATAATATAGACGAGAGTCAATTTCAAATGAACGGCCATCCAATAACAATTGATGGTCGTCTATATTTGATAGACGACCGTTTATTCGCAAAATATTTGTTAACATGATACATGGTTCATCTGATTCAGTGAGGCACGCCGTTCGATGTAAAATTCGGTGCAAAGCATCGGTGCCTGTAGCATTTTTCTAACCCCTATACCCCATATGCAAATTTACTGTTATAATGGGCATTATAGTTTTGTTAAAAATAAATATAATATAATTAAATAAATTTTATTCATATTGCTTCTATTATGGTTATAAACCGTAATAAAACAATAATTACAATTATAATTGTAATAGGAAAGGGACAGGGAAAGGGAAGGTGAATGAGAATGGGAAAGGAAAAGTGAATTGTAACAGTAAAGGGAATGGGAATAAGAACGGGAACGAGAATGAGAATGAGAATGAGAACTGTAGACGTAAAAATCTACCTGTACAAAAATGGGGTCTGATCCCTTGAGGATAATGCCACTAGCGATCTGCTGTACGTGCACACGTAGAAAAACACACGCGTGAAGTGAACGGGAAACACCGGGGTGGTGTTTGCCATAGGTACTCCGACGCTCAAGTCAGTAAGGCTGAAAGGCTAATATAGTGAGGGCTAGGGAGTAAGAGATTACCGGAAGTCTAGTCGAGGACTATGACTACGGCGGTGAAGTGAAGCTCTCAAGTAGGAGCTTCGGGTGTGAAGGTGTAATGTCGTGTCCTTTGTGAGAGGGCTGACCTCTACTTATATAGTGGCTGTCTGGTCTCCCATTCCTAGTAGAAGTAGAGAGTCCTAGTGTGACTCTGATGCAAACCCTAGAAGAATTAGGCCCGTGTTAAGCTGTCTCTCCAGTGTCCGGCTAGGAAAGTGATTCTGATCAAGAAAGTAACTTCGAGTAGGAAAGTGATCAGGAACAGGAAAGTGACTTTGAATAGGAGATTGAATAGGAACAGAAAAATGATTAATGGGGGGCCGTGGGCCCTGAACTCGTCTATTGGCTGAGGAGGTGAGTTGGAATTGGGGGGCCCATGCCCAGATGGTTTGGATCGGCCGTATCTCGTATCAAATGGGACTAATTTGGCTTGGGCCTCTGTAAGACTAGGCCTGATCTTTTCTTCACTAGTGGTCCTGTTTTCCTATTTGGGTCAATGACGATTTTTGGCCCTAACAAGAACCCGAATAATAATAGAAATGGAAATGAGAATAATTGTAAGAACTAGAATAAGAATAATAATTGAAATAGAAATAAGAACCCGGAACAGGAATAAAAACTGAAATGGGAACAGATCATGGCTAGAAAGATAAAATGACGTAGTTGGAACTATGTATTTATGATGTCGTGATTATGTGTTTAGGTTAAATTCCCCGACCTCCATGTGGTTTGTCCAAAAGACTTTTAGATCCTCTTACTTTGAGAAAAATTCACCATACCCTCCTGATTAAAGTTGTAATGGAGGGATATTAGAGTCATTTGACAGGAAAAATTATTGAAAAAGAAAATAAAATCGAAAAAATAGAGTGAAATATGTGCATATGTGCTACTCCAAAGACCCATTTGTTATCATACATCCTCGGGCATGAAAGTTATCGCCAATAATTTTGTATCTAAAATGCGATATATTCGATGTCACCATATAGTCGTTGTCGCTTGTTAAAGAAAATGACATATACCACCTTAATTGTTTGCATTACCAAAAATTTATTATTACGTGTTTGATGTTCCAATTTCGGATTTACTAACTTTCTATTTGCATATTAGAAATCTCCACATAAATTTAAATTGGGAGAATTTCAGAAACTACCCATCACTTTATATTAATTGTAAACAGTAAAATCTTCGATTGATTCAGAAGAGACAGATCTTGTGAGAAGCGAGTCACGGACAATTTGATGAACCTACACAAAGAAGGAAAGGGAACGTGAAGGCTTGGGTGACACTAGTGTGGTGTCTGTCATAGATACTCCGACGCTCAACTCAACACAATTAAAGGTATTTAGTGAGGACTGAGAGCACGAAGGGTTAGTCTATATTTAGTGAGGGCTGAGAGCGAAAAAGGTTTGGGCTAGATTAACACAAAGTGGCTGAAGCACAACTTTGCTGTGGCTGAAAGTGGTAAAGTTATTCGGAACTAAGCTTTATGACGGGAAAAGGTGATTCTTTAGAGTGAGAATTTATGAGTTAAAGCTATGGGTGATTTTTAAATACGTAATGAGAGGTTTGACCTCTATTTATATAGTGAATCAAAGATGTTGGAGTCCTAGTAGAATTATGAGTCCTACTTGGTAATTGAGTTTCAATTAGAAAGGAAATATTATATTAGGCTTACCACTTAAGTAAGATTATGGATCTTGACTGAAGTGAAAAGTAAATAAGATTCTAATTCCTATTTTGGGACTGCTTTGGGCTAATGGGCTGGAACCCACTTCAACTTAATTTATAGGATAGACCAACTCATAGAGTTGTTAGTTTACAAGGTGAATTTAAGCGTAGGCCCAACCGTAATTGGGCTAAGGTACTAGGTCGTAATATGTTTATTTCATTATTGGACCTCGTCAGGCCCAATACGATTTTTGGCCCATACACTAATCACACTTTTGTGAGAAATAATAAAAAACCACCCCTAAATCCTAAGAAGGCATTTGGTTGGGGGTTATCCCCCATTACTAAGGTAATGTCATCTTATATTATTTAAGTTATCACGTTTGGTTGTCAAGTAATATAAGATTTCGGTAATCTTCCAAAACCAATAATAATTACTATTAGTTATATAGATGATAATCTAAATACCTCTATTTTCTTAGGGTAAATTATACATTATTTACAAAATGTTAGGGGGTATTTAAACATTATACCCTATAATGTGTATTTGACTGACAATTTTAGAAAACACAAGCTGGTTATTGAAATTAATCGCATTAATTATTATTTATCTTTTGGTTTATTTAAAATTGGGCTAATAACTTATTTCTTCATTTAAGAATAATTCGATTGCATTGTTTTATGTTGCCTATTAAAATATCAACTTCAATTTGCTAAAAACACATGCGCACGCGCGCGCGCGCGCACACACACACACAAGGGAATAATTCATTGTAATTTATGACTATATGAATCGTTATTTTTCAATCATGAATTATAATTAAATAAATCTCTAAATAAATTTATATTGGGTGGAGTTTATACACATTTAAAAGTGTTATTAACATAAACTACATCTGGGTAGTTGAGTGATTCAATAGGGACTTTTTGGTGTATTACTCAACAAGTTTAGAGTTCGAGCCCTTCCTCGATTGCTAATAGAGATAGCCATCGAAGCCCTTACCCAGTCGATTGTTCCAAGTTCTGAAAACTAGACTAGGTCAAGGTCCTGGTTCACGGTTTGACCGGTTAAACTATCGATTTCGGTGGTCCAAAAAGTTTAAATTCTTACAAACACACCCTTAAAAACTCTGTCAATCCCTACAATTTTAAAATATAACAAATACACCCACGTGATCTATTTGGGTTTTGACATTTCCGGCCAAATTTCGGCTAATTTCGATAGCCAAAATTCAAGTCAACACCACCACTTGAACCACTATCTCCACTCTACAAAACCTTTCTAACCCCGGAATTTGGTAACCCTCCATTCGCCGGTTATGAGTCGCAAACTCTACGATTAGGTTGATTTTTCCAACCAAATTCTAGCTTATTTCAGTCTCCAAAATTCAACCAAACACCACCACCTAAACCATTGACCTCCACTCTACAAAACCCCTCTAACCTCGATACTTGGTAGCCCTCGTTCGCCGGCCGTGATTCCCATATTGGATTGAACTTTTTGGCCAAATTCTGGCTTATTCTGGCATCGAAAATTCAATCTAACACTACCACATGAACCACCGATCTTTACTCTACAAAAGCCCTCTAACTCCGACACTTGGTAACCCCTCATTTGCCAACAATCAAATTAGGGATTTGGGTGAATAGTAAAATTGAAATCTTGGACTAGAAAAGAGGCCGATCGATGGTTGGACCGGTCTAGTTTTCTGAACATTGGTTAATGATAGGATTAAAATGTTACTGAAACTGAAAGGGACCAAAATGTTATGAAAACATTATACTAGACTAAAGGGTACGTAGACCAAATCTCAGGGATAGAAGGTATTGTCCCTGTTATAAACCCCAGTCTTAAACCCTAACTGAAAACTCTTTCGTTGCTATGAACTCGTAGCTTTTACATACTCTGAAAATATGCAACCTCACTTCAATTCCTTTCCCCATCAAATCCAGTCTAATTCTTCCACTCCTCAGCTTCCTCACCAGGTAACTCTCTCTAGACTCATCTCATTCTGCATTTGATTTTGTAAGTTTCATCTAATTGGTTTTTTTTTTTTTTGCTTGAATTTTGTTTAATTCATCAGGGTTTCAATTCTAACATGTTACAAAATTCAATGCCACTTCAACCTCAAATGGGTATTTTAAATCCTCAATTTCCGTTTAATTTAGGTAATGGGCAAGCCATGCCCATGCCCATGCCCAATATGCAAGCACCATTGATGACTCAACCTAATTTCATGAATGCTCAAAACCCTTTTGTTTTCTCACAAAATAATCATCTGGGTATGCCCCAATTGCCGCCCATGTCTCAACCACAACATAATTTGAATAATGTTCCCATGTTTCCGGGTACTGGACAAATGTTTGGTTGTAATTTATCAAATTTGCCTCAACACCTTAGCCAAAACATGGCTTTGCAAAACTTGAATCAACTTGTGTCTATGCAAATGGCGAATCCTGCCTTTTTGGGGAATCCGCAGTTTGGTCTTGTGCATAGTAATGGTGTTGGGCAAAATGTAAACCAAAACCGGCAAAATTTGGTTCAGCCAGTAGTGGATGCAAATGGGTCGATACCATCGCCTTCAAGTAGAACACAGCAAAACCAGAACTCGCAGCCTTCTGTTTTTGCAAGGTCTCAGGTAGCTATTTTGCTCAATTCCTATATTAGTTATGTGTAAATATCATTCAACTTTACTTTATTTTTGTTCAGTAGACAAGTTGAAAGGAGGTTATTACTAAAATTCCTGTATCTTTTGATGTCTATATGATATATTTTATTGAGAGGAATTCAGTCTTGGTAGCTATAATTTTTTCTTACCATGCATTAAATGGGAATTTGTTATCATAGTGTGCTACCACTCATGGCAGTGGCATGCATTCTTTCTTCTCTTGGAGTCTAGTTTAAAGTTTAAATTGGTTTTGAATCTTAATATCTGAAACCTAGTTGTAAAACCATGTCTATGGATCAATTTTGATCCATTGCAGCGTAGAAATGTGGCTTAGCTGTATAACAGAGCAATTGAACCAATACGCCATTTGTGACATTTCCATTTTATCTTTTGCCAGCTTTTCTGTCAAAAATAGTTTTTGGAATCGTTTTTGTGCCAACATTGTCAATTGAGCTGCAGTGACTGTTAATTAACTTATGTCCTTTCTAATTGTTGCAGGGGAATTCTATTAGAAATGGTCAGGGTAATGCTTCAAATAACAATTGGAAAAATGGTTCAGGGAAAAATTTTGTAAGAAATCCAAAAAGAGAGCACTCACGGGGGTGGGTGAATTTACCTTTTTTATATTTTGGTTTATAATTTCTGCTGTTATAAGATTTCGACTAGTTATTTGTAATTGACAAATGAAAATGTAATTATTTAGGTTTCAGAAGTCTCAATTACATCATGGGGATGATGCAAAGAGAAAATATGGGTTTCATAATAACCACAAAGCAAAAGGTTTGTGTTGTCTGATTTTAAATTTTCCATTAAAGTAAAAACAATATGAAAATAAAGCACTGTAGAGTGTGACATAATTTCTGGTGCCATTGCTATTATCATCTACTAGCTTTATGGGCACATACTAGAATTATAAGGCCAAATAAAGCCCACTAACAAGTCTACATTTCAGGAAGTGAAATTATTTTTTGACAAGATCAATATATGTTTATTTATGGCTGTGTGTGGAGGGAGGGTAAAATCTATGCATGGACACGTATATCTTTCACATTATTTTAAAACATCTTTTCTGCTATGTATGGTGAGTGTTACTTACGTAGTAAATTTCACTTTTCACAGGACATCGCAATGAGATGACTGCAAAATTTGGTCAGGCTAATCATTTGAACCAACCTAAGGAAAAGAAAAGGTAATCATATGTTGTTTTCATTTCAATGAGGGAGAAAAGTCTTATTGAATTTACCTCTTATTGTGACACAAAAACTGCAAGTAGAGGTGATGCTTGGACAATTAAATAGGCGTAACAATAGGATCTTACTTAGTTTAGCCAAATAGTAACTCTATTTTGCCAAGATTAAAGAGGCTTGAGATTATTTTAGGTGTTTAAAAAAATATCTTAGCACTTCAACAATTGTTTCAATTGAGGCAAATCTTTTAGTTTCCAAATCAGTTTTATGAAACAATGATGAAAAATCATCAAGGTAGCTGTATAGGTTATCCTTTTCAGCTACATGGAAATTTATATATCTCCTAATACTCAGCCAATTTTTCTTAAAGTTATCGAATGGCAGTGCGTTTAAATAATTCCATTCGCTTCAAAAACTTTTATATGGGTGATCGTCACAGGATTCATAGATACTTTTGACTCATGGGATACTCTTGTATCACTTATTTTAACTCATGAAATCTTTTATATGGGTGATCGTCACAGGATTCATAGATACTTTTGACTCATGGGATACTCTTGTATCACTTATTTTAACTCATGAAATCTTTGTCGAATAAACACTGATTAGAGAACCATGAGGCTTAATTCTGTGCTACCTAGCTTTTTATTTATTTTTTTATNAAAAAGAAAAAGAAATCTCAACCTGCAAACAATGTGTTGTCCAACAGGTAAGCCAAAGATTGAAGTAGGTTTAGGAAGAGCAAATCTGAACTTGGAAGAATTATGGGTCAACTGAGTTTTCTTAACAAGTTTGAATTCCTTGAAATTCTCAGGGTCTAAGCAGCCTGCAAAATTTACCATTGTAGTACAGTATTAATTTGGTCATAATATAATTCTTCGCTGATTCAAAATATTATAAGTTTATTAATTTCTAACCTTTGGGTTTTCTGGAGCGGAGAACATAAATAGCGAGGACTGCAACAACAAAACCAAGTAGTTGAAGATGGGAGAGTTGCATCAAAAAATCAAATTTGGTTTTGATCATCAACTCATCAAACCTCAAATCCATTGGTAAATTCAACATTGTATTTGTACCAACATCAATTTAATTTATAGGGATAACAAAATGCCTTTATTTTCATGCTTTGCTTGTTCTTGTTACCTTTCTCATCATTCCCTTTTAATTTTCAGAGAATTTGTGAGTGAAGGAGAATGTATGGAGCAAGAGATCATTTAAACAACTTTATTACGGAACCCCAAATCAAAATTTTATCAATTTTTATTATTATTAAGCAACTTTCTTTTGTGCCTCAGAATGCAAAATCAATCAAAGATTAATATGGCTGCTTAATTAGTATGGGATATATAGAAGAAAATAATTAACAAAGAAATAGACATGGCTAGGCTCTGTTTAATTATTGTACAAACTTCATAAATTCTTTATTTTTGTTTAATATATAATTTAAATACAGATTTTTGTTTTAAAAAACAAGGGATACATAACCCCAAGGGGTTGGCCTGTTGGTCAAAGATGTTTGTTCCATTCCTTGAGTTCTTACGTTTAAACCTTAAGACCACCTACCACAATAACATGTGGTTTACCTAATCCTTTGGATTTGTATAGTGTTCAATGGATTTTGGGGATTAGTTAAGGTGTGCACGAGCTGGAACCAGACACACCAGTTACCAAAAAAAAAAAAAAAAAGGGATACAAGAAATCTTATGAAAATGTGTTTGGTAGAAAGTCTAAGGGCTCTCCAACTTACTAGGCCGGTCTTTTGAGTTGGATTCTCCCGTTGGACTTGAGTAATCAAATTATGGTTTAAAATATAGTGTTCCTTTCTTTTATTTTAACCACTCACCATGTGAATAGTACGAGAATAACAAGATATTTATTATGGATAAACGTACATTTATATGTCGATTGTGACATCCCGAGAAAATGAAACATATAGGCAAATTAATTCATACAAAGAGCATAAAGTTAGTTGTCGTGTAAAACGGAAAAAATAAACTAAATGTATATAACAAATAATGTCACAAACATATGTCAATATCACATTAATTTCTATGAAATAGTATTTATATAGTTTGCACGAAAAATAATATCATAGCTTAACAATTAATATTTATCAACTACAACCTACATAACACGCTGTCNTTTTTTTTTTTTTAAAGCATGGACGGGCCCGTCCAAAGGTAAGGGACTGACGTCCATTCCTAATGGACGCCCGTCCAAACATACGGGACGGCCGTCCAAAATTTATGAACGGTCGTCCCTAATGTTTATAAAATTTTTTATTATATTTTAATCAGGGACGGGCGTCCTTTAAATGGAGACGCCCGTCCCTTGTATATGGACGCCCGTTCATATAATATGGACGGGCGTCCATGTGAGTGAACGGCCGTCCAAATTTGATGGACGGTCGTTCACTAGAAAAAAATTATTAAACAAATCAGATGCGTGTTACACGTAGGCCGGTACACATTTTCGGTGTAAAATTTTCGGTGTCCCTAGCATTATTGGTGGGCACAACCCACCCTCAATTTTTTTTTTTTAAATATTAATATGTACAATTTTTGGATTTTGGCTTATCCTAACAGAAATTTTTTATTCTGTTACTGAATTTATAAGATTGTATAACATTGACATTTTTATATATTCAGCGAGAAGTGGTTTTAAGTGGTTATATATATATATAGTAATTCTCTGACCTCTCCTCTTGTGGTTAGACGGCAAACCCTTTACCCAGTTGAGTTAGTTATATCCAGGAAGTCTTATGTTCAAATCTCTAGAATAGGTATCTATCACATTTATGCAATTACTTTAGTTCATTGGTGTTTCGTGACCTTAAGAATTAGGCAAGCTCCAATATAGGCTTGGATACCTCAATTACCTTAAAAAAAAAAAAATCTCTAGTTAGGACCATCATGTTAATCACCTCTAGATTCTTGCATGTAAAATATCACTTCAATCCAATGAGTTAGTATAATGGCATTCAAGCATAATTAGGGATGGGCGTTTGACCCGCATTGCCAAGGATCCGGCTCGAACGAGGTAGGGATTCCTCAAAAAAATCGGGGAATGGCACAAGGACGAGAAGAAAAAATTTCCTTGTCACTTTATCCCTGCCCGCCCCCAAACTATATATTTATTGAAAAATTTATATTTTTTCCATTAGATTTTATATAAAGTTAGCATCCCATGATTTCAGAATTATGATTTTAAGTCATATGTCAAAATTTGTAATTGTTATCTTAAATTTATTATTGTATATTTTAATTATAGAATAAAAATAACCTAAGATGAAATGGTACGATTAATATTAACTTATATTGCTATTGGATAACATAATTTATTTACTAATGTTTTATTCTGTTTGTTATATTTCTTAATTCTTATTGTTAATTTATTATACATACGATTGGTTTTTGCATGTTTTTCTTTGATAGTATTACACGAGATTAATTATTAAATATTTTTAGTAAAGTTCAAATATTTAATTTAATTCATGCTGAAATATTCTAAGTATCTTGTTTGCTACATGGCGACATTGAGTCATGAACAATTGAACACGGNGAAATGATTGAAAATCACCCGCGCTAAATTGTGCTTTCTGGTTGAAACCTAGAGTGAGTGTTAAACCAGCTTAGATCTATTGAGAATTCGAAGCTTCAAGACGTCACCGTTTAAGCTTCTCTTCCCGCCTTTATTGTTTTATCCGAACCCATAAAATTACCCGAAACAAACGGGTTTGGATTTGTCACTTAATTTTTTTTTTTTTTTTCAAATGAGTAAAATTATTCCAGCCGAGTTTGTATTAATTTTCTATTCGACTCGATTGGTTAGGGATTATGATTAGTTTGGCTTTATTTGAAACGAGTTAGTATAATGGTATAAAAGCATAATTAGAGATGACCGTTTGACCCACCTTGTCAAGGATCCTGCCCGAACGAGGTAGGGGTTCCTCAAAATCGGGGAATGGCACAAGGATGAGAAGAAAACATTTCCTTGTCCCCAAGGGCAGGGATAAAGTTGTCCTCGCTCGCCCGACAAACTATACATTTATTGAAAAATTTATATTTTTTCCATTAGATTTTATATAAAGTTAGCATCCCATGATTTAAGAATTATGATTTTAAGTCATACATCAAAATTTGTAATTGTTATGTTAAATTCATTATTGTATATTTTAATTATAGAATAAAAATAACTTAAAGATGAAATGGTATGATTAATATTAACTTATATTACTATTGGATAACATAATTTATTTACTAATGTTTTATTCTTTTTGTTATATTTCTTAATTCTTATTGTTAATTTATTATACATACTATTGGTTTTTGCATGTTTTTCTTTGATAGTATTACACGAGATTAATTATTAAATATTTTTAGTAAGAGTTCAAATATTTAATTTAATTCATACTGAAATATTCTAGTATCTTGTTTGCTACATGGCGACATGGAGTCATGAACAATTGAACATGGTACAATTAAAGATTGTTTAATTTTACAAATTTTATAAAAATTATATATATTTTTTCTATAATGCTTTCTAATTATCTTTTTAATTAATAGATTGATCTTTAAATTACCATCAATATAATGATGTTTAATTAATTTTATCTTCATATATAATATTTTTTGCTAGTTGCTTTAATATTTAATAAGAATCTAATAAAATGTCGGCAACAGCATTTGACAAAAAACAAAACTCTTCATGCTTAATCAATAAATAAATTTGCTAACACATAATTTGGTTTAGAGAAACTAACACAAACTGTTCACCAGTTCAGATTGATGATTCAATTCATTAGCAAAACACAGAGCCTTTATATACTAAGAAAACAGATAATATTTATTATTTATTTTTTTTGAGGGGTTACCGAGGGTGTCCAAGCCAGCTTATGAACACTCCGACCTCGAACAAAGTGTGCCTAATAATATCAACAACCGCTGCAAACCCTTTAACCCTAAGCCTTTACCACTCGGCCAACTCATTGTTGGTTGATAACAGCT